TGTCTCTCAGAGGGAGACAGCCAAGCAGAGGAAGCTCAAGAGGACCTAGGCCCAGGTCTCTGAAAGCCGTTCTTACAGCACACCAACCTGATCCCCCTCCCGACACCCAGACGCATTTCTTTGCTCGGGACAGGATGAATGAGTTCCCAGCCTGGATAAAGAGAACACTGTCCTCCTTGGCCAGCCTCCTGTCCCTCCTGCTCAACAACTCGCACTTTCTTGTCGTGTCCCATCTTGCGGCTCCGTCAGTTGTTTAAAAAACACGTCTCCTGTCATCAACAGACCTGTCCCCATGCACTTTAACTGCAGCGGTGGAGAATTCGCCCCTCCCGGGGAGAGTTCGGGACCTGTGGGGGCAGGCCTGGCCTGGCCAACGACAGGAAAGGATGCGCTCACTTGCGGAATTTAGCTGCCGGAGTGTTCCAGGCTCTGGCTGTTCTGCTTTTCGTTTTGGTTTGGTTTGGTTTAGTTCCGCTTGGATGTCAGAAGGCATGTGAGTGCATGGGAAACAGAAAAGCACCCCCCACACAGGGGCTGGTCAGGCTGCAGTCCTTTTTCTTCCAGCTCTCCCTCCATCAGGACCCTGGGCGCACGTGCACATGAGCATGGGCCCAGCGTGTTTTTCAAAGTCAGAATTCAAACTCAGTCAGCCATGTGGAACCCTCTGTACATGGGGCCAGTCCTTACTTTTGCTTTTTTAATTTAATTAATTTTTTTACGTTTTTGTCATCAAGTGCATGCACTCACCAGAGAGAGACAGAGGGAGGGAAAGTGGGAAGTCACCCCCCCAAGGGGGATGGCCACACTGCAATCCTGCCTTCTCTATTGGCCTCCTGGATTTGGGCACGCATGCACACTGCACCTAGCATGAATTTCTAGCCTCCAGGTCCTGGACTAGAGCCGCAGTCAGTCGTGTGGGTAGTCCAGTGCAATGACCACTACGCCACCTGCTGGCCCCTGGTTTTGCTTTTTTTAATTCATTTATACATTGGTTTATTTATTTAAGAGGATGAAAGAGAAAAACAACTACAGCCTGGCAGAAGCAGCCATGTTGAGCTTATCCATGGCAGGCCTGGGGAGACGTGGAAGAGTCTCAGGACGTCTGATGACAGTTCTTTGACCAAGGAGGTCAGGGGCTAAGAGAGAGAGACATGCTCATGGGACTTGAAATTCTTGTTACAATTTTACTTTAGGGGCCAGCAGGTGGCATGGTGGTTAGGGCGCTGGACCCCAGGAGGCCGACTGCAGCTGGAGTCACAGACCTGGTGGCTTGAAAATTACACTGGGCAGGTGCACATGACCAAAATCCCAGGAGAATGGAGAAGATGCACTTGCAATGTAGCCAAGCCCCCCAAGGGCGTGACGTCTCACTTTCCCTCTGTCTGTCTCTGTATCTCTCTCTGGCGAGTGCACATGCAGGAGGCGGAGATTTTCACTTTAGAAATCCAGGAATTTAAGTTTATGCTGACTCTGCAAGCCCAGCCAGCCCCTGACCAGCCCGACCCTCCCATCCTCGTGTCCCTCGTGAGTAACTGGCTGCGGTTCCTAACAGCCAGTTACTCAGCTGCCCCAGAGCCTCACTGGCACGGAGGGGCTCGTCCGCTCGGTGTCTGTGACCACGGGCCCTGTCCGACACGCCCAGGCAGCGGGACGCTTAGTCCCTCTTCTCAGCAAATAGTTGGTGAGGCGGGGAACCATCCCCCACTGAACCACGGCCGAGAAACTGCACAGCTGTGCCCTTCTGGAGCTTTGACTTCTGCAGGTCATACTACCCAAAAAATAAAAATAAATAACGAAACAAACGCCAGTCTACCGCTGGACTCCCCTTATTCCCAAGGGGGAGAGGGTGTATGAACACCCCTGGAATGAGTGTGTGTCCAGAAGGTGGTCAGTAAATGTTAGCAGAAATCTGACTCTGACCGAGTGAGCAGGGCTGTTCAGTGGCTCAGCAGTGAAGTGCTGCACTTGGAGAGGCAACCCCACATGGGAAGGTTCCCTGCTCAGGTCCAGAGGCCTCCGTGAGCTCCAGGCATGCACGAGTGCACATGATTGGGGCCGGCTGGGAGCTGGACACGGATCACAGCCACAGGGCACCAAAGGGGGTCACAAACCTCCAGGGCACAAGCCCATGGCAGGTCTGCCTCCTCCGCGCACCCCCATGGAAGAATTACATGAACAAACAACAACCATACCAAAAAAGAAAAAAAAAACACTAAATAAATCACATAAGAATAAGGGTAACTAGACTATGGGATACTAGCAGGATTTAACTTAGAGCCTCCTGACTTTTTTTTTTTAATCTGCAAAAGCAGCACACAGATGCCCATGGGGCTGTCCTTGTTTCTGGACTTGCTGTGTGTGCACAGCAGAGAGACGGCAGGCCTGACTTGTTACCCTGCTCTGGGCTCTACCCACCCCAGAAACCTCTGGGCCTGCACACACCAAATACTGATGAACGGTCAATAAACAGTACTTGAGCAGATGACTAATTGAATTCATCACCGCAATCCGATCAAGTCATTGAATGAATCCCTGTCCCTGCCCTGTCCTTCTGGGCCTCAGTTTCCTCTCTACCTCGTTTCTCATTTGTCAAAGTGAAAGGAAAGTCCTGATGGAGAAGACCAGCCCTCTGCAAAGTGTCTAAAGCAATTATCTTCAGCAACTCCCGCTGGGTTTTCTCCCTCTGCCAGGCTCCCTCACCTTCTGCCCTACATGCTGGAGTGGGTCAGGAACCAAGGACCTGTGTTCGAACCCCGACTCTACCACTTTCTCAGCCCACTTACTTGTCTCTTGGCTTCAGGGACTCTCGATAAAACAGGCATAATTATAGCGCCCACCTCTGGGTCTACCCTATGTGGGAAGCAAAGGTGCTCAGAATGATGTCAGCACACAGTAACACATGTCACATGGCCCCAGGGGAGCACGCCCAGTCTGCTCCTCACTATCAAGGCGCTGGCTGATAACAGAGGTGTGATGCCTCCCAAGCAATACCTGCAACTTAAAAAGAGGAATCTCAAAGGAGCCTGAAAGCCCCAGGGAGCAAAGCAGTCAAGGGCCAATGCCCAGGGCCAGAGTTGCAGGTGAGGGCAGGGCATGCAGCAGGAGGTGGGAGGCACTTCAAAAGCACCCTCCCCAGGCGGCCCAGCTATCTCCCTGGGGGCCGATAGGAGATAAATGCAACCCCTGCTTCAAAGCAGTTGCTCAGCTGCAGACCAAGGACCTGGATCAAACAGGCAGAGCAGAGTGGAGATAAACTGCAGTCTGTTTCCTTTCCTCCTTTCTCCCCTCCACTTCTCTAAAGAAACTTCTTAGGGGAGGACAAGGAGTTAATTCCTCTGTCTTTTATCAGGAGTTATATCCCCTTCTGCAGCAAGGCGGTGGTGTGGCCCTAGAGCAAAAGGAGAGGGAGTTAAGAAGCCAGTGCTAGCCAGGGTGACCTTGCACTCCCCGTGTCTCAGGGCCCCACGTCTCCACCTGCCAAACGGAGGACATCTGCCTGGAACAACCGGACACCGTTGTGGGATGACGAAACATGCACGAGAACACGTCTATGCAGTCACCCGCCTTAGATCTTAGGGAAGGCGGTGAGGTGAGATTAAAACAAATAGCCCTACACGTAAGATTCTTCCTCATTCAGCAGCGGACAGTCCAGGTCCTTGCGACGGCCTAGCCCTGCCTCTCAGCAGCTGCACCTCAGACAGGCTATTTCCTTCTTGTGACATGGGCCACAGGACCTACCTCGCGGCTTCAGGGAGGATTACATGAGATACTACATGGGGTGCTTAGGACAGCCCTTGGCGCTCTGCGGCGCCTCCTGGGATGATGGCCAAACACTGAACAGCAACTAGGCAATAGGCTAGGAACACGGGGGACGAGGACGCACAGACGCGCACAGCCCACTGGGAGGCCAGGGCCCAAGGAATTACAGAACACAGCCCCAGCCGGCCACCGCAGAGGGAGCTGTGGGCTGGCGGCCCTGCTCCTCCTCGGTGTCCACCGGGCTCCTCTGGGCCCTTCTCACGCCCCAGGCTATGTCTGAAGCCTGGGGATGGGGCAGAACAAGGACCAGGACCGTCTTCCAGGGCCTCAGTGCTAACTCAGGGCTTCTGGCCAAGGCAGTAATTGCCAGCCGCTGAAAGATATTAAGCACCAGAGAGGAAAGCCGAGTTCTCTGTGAGACAGACTTTTCAGAGTTCTTGCAGCTTGTAAGAAAAAAATGTAAATAGTTACCCAGTGAGATACATGCTGTTGCCATTAGGGTTTGAGTGTTATGCAGAGAGGCGATCACTCGGGCACGCGGAGCATCTTCCACCTCCAGCGCTCAGCCTGACTCAGGCCTTTTCTCCTGGGTGGTGAATTTTATGTAAATTGAAGTAGCAAAAAAAAAAATCTATAAATATTCACAATTTCCTAAAGAATTTTCTTAATGGCTTTTGGGTCATTATTTTTAAAGACACATCTGACCTAGGCTGGGGGAGGGTCAGTCTCGCTCTCGTGGAGTTCTGTGACGCCTGGGCCCAGTGACTGACTGGTTCACGGCAGAGATCTTGCTGACTTGGCGAAGGGTCTCCTCCCCAGAGTCTGGACAGTGCTGTTGGCCACAGCCAGCGCTCACCTGCGACTTCCCTGTACCACCACCACGCAGGTGGCATGCACTCTGCTCTCTGTCCCCTCCCCCAAGGCCATCACTCTCACATTTTACACTTGAGGAAGCTGAAGCCGAGGAGGGCAACTGGCCCAGAGTCACCATGGCCACCTGGTTCAGAGTCCACACTGCGGCTCTGCCTCTCCGTGGTCTCCTGGCCGTGTGACCTCGAGTGACTGACCTCGAGCCCCCTCCAGTCAATGCCTGCTGTACCGAATCAGTGTCGCTTGCCACAGTGTCATGGCGGCACCCTCTTCCATGACCCAGCAGCCCTGCCCCATGCTAGTTAAATGGCGGCCACTGGTTCCCGGGACAGTCTGAGTGGGCTCGGGTATGGGGAGCCCCTTAGCCATACACCTGCCACCTCTTTCCAAGAAGAGCCCATGTCACGTGGACTCTCCTAGCACATCCCCAGTCCTCTGCACACAGCAAGCCCTCTACAAACCAGCCCAGAGCCCTCTCCACCCTGTGCGTGCTGTGGCAGCAGGACCCGGTCTGAGGCCCTGGGCAGGCCAGACTGCTGCCCGTCAATTGCTGAGCGTGGTAACCCGGTCATGTTTCCACTGGGCCTCTAGCCTAAGTACGGTTTTCTGTTTTCCCTCCTAAGGCAACTGGCTGGATCCCGCTGCCCTCACCAGCACCCTAAACTGTCCTTGCTCCCTTGTATACCTTGAAATGTGTCCTCCTCACCTTCTAGGACGGGGCACAGGCCTGGCCCCCACTGCTGTGGGCACTGCTGTCTCTGTTAGTGGTTCCTGCTGTGAGCTAAGGGAGTGGGGTGCCCTGAGAAGGGGCTTCAAGAATTCATGGGAAATGGGTCTCATGAAAAAACTAGGCATAGATTTCAAATCCTTTTGTACTAAAATAAATTTCGACTTATTTCCATTGTTCTATGAACTTTTTTTTTTAATTATAGGGCATCTGCACCCACCAGAGAGAGAGGGGGAAAAAAGTGAGAAATCACCCCCTAGTGAACAGGGCCACACCGCAGTCCCTTCTCCTCTATTCTCCTCTTGGGATTTTGGGCACACACACTCACCCAGGATATTTGTCAGGTCTCTGGGACTGGGACTTGAACCACGCTGTCAGCCATGTGGGATCCAGCCCCCTAACCACCATGCCACCACCTCAAGTCCCCTGTGTATTGTCACTTAGGCAGTCCCCAGCCCAGTCTGCCTCCTCACCTCTTTTCTCCTTTTCTTTCACTACCTTTAATTTCTCTTTCTTCTTCAAATAGAGTGCTCCTTCTCTCACTCTCCTTCCTGCTTCTCCTCCTCCCCATTCCTCCCAAATTCCAACCTCTCTCCCTCCCCTTCCCGCCTGCTCAGGCCCATGACTCACAGCTAGCTCACACCTGTGGGTCTGGGCTTTCCTGGCTGGTTACAACCACCAGGGCTCTGAGCCATACTGTCTCCCGGTCTCCCCTCTCCCCGCTCTGCCCCACACGGGGGCCGCCAAGGCTGTCCTCCACCTCTCCTGGCTGTGGCAGTCCCCACAAAGGCCGGATGGCCTTATGGGGAGAAGCAGCCCTGCGGTGGACTTGACAGGGTGGTGCTGGTGACAACGGCCATGTCCCATCCACAGAAACATGATCAAACATGGCCGGGATCGCGCCTCTCCTCCTTCCCCATTGTTTGAACCTGATTTTCCCAGGACTGACCTTGAGGGAAGGCAAGCCCATGTTTTAGAGTGTCTTTTAGGGTGATTTTAGGGTGTCTTTACGTACTGCCCCAAAAGCAGCGAGGATGAAGGGATCAGCCAGGGAGGCCTCTGTGTCCTCTCCACTGAGCATGAGACAGTTCTAGGCTGCTCTCTCCGCAGGGCTGTGTGTGTGTGTGTGTGTGTGTGCGTGTGTGTTTGAAGGAATTCTTTAACATCACTTCTCCACACCTTGGGTATTCATGTTCTCTTGTTTTTTGGGTTTTTTTTGGGGGGGAGGTTTGTGTGTTTTTGTTTTTTAGGTTTTCCGCCATAGCACATGGGCTCACTGGAGAGGAGGGACAGAGAGGTAGAAAGAGAGGGGAAGTGAGAAATCATCCCCCAGAGGATGGCCACACTACAATCCCTTCTCCTCCGTTCTCCTCTGGGGATTTGGGGCACACACGCACACACACCTGGTGCAAATCTCAAGCCTCCAGGTCCAGGAATCAAACTGCTGCAGGCCATGTGGAAACCCAGCTGCCTGACCACCATCATGCTGTGTCAAGGTGGGGGCCACCGGGCAGGGGCAGGAAGGGTAATTCTGGAGCAAAGGTCCCAAGTGACAGGCCTGACCACAGGCATGATGGATTGGAACTGGGAAAGTCCTGCTGGGTAGGGCGACACCAGCGCGCCTCCACTGGCCGCTGAGAGCGGAGCAGTGGTGTCCCCAGAGGCCATCGCACAAAGGACCAGCTTCACTTTCCGAGGGGCGGGCGGGGACTTGGAGGTCACGACCGTGACTAGGTCAAATACGTGCCAACCGCCCAGGGGCCACGCACACTCCATCCAGCAGGCGGGAATTCGCCGAGGGGGCTGCGATCTTGAACGAAAAGTCAGCACTCCCTGGAAAATGCGATTGCCTTTTCCCTCGCGCTGAGGAATGACGGGCACGCCCCTGGAGCTGGGGTCGACAAGCGACACTTAGGACACTCCCTGTCCTCCGGGACATTGGCCTCTGGTGATGTCGGGTCTCCACAGAATAGCAACTAGGCTTGGTACAGTGGGGAACTTCACGCCTTCAAGCGGAACCCGACCAGAACCCTAAACACACCCCAATACCGAACCTAAAAATCAGGGCGCACTCCAGGAGCGTCCGGGCGCGGCGCACCGCCTAGGGCACCTCGCTTCGCCGTGACAATCTCACCCAGAAGGGAGTCCTCAAACTCGCAGGCTTCGGACCGGTCGGGCTCGAAGTAGTTGGAGCGGCGCCGCGAGCACAGCGGACGTCTCCCAGGCTCCCGAGCTCCGAAGCGAACACGCCCGCAGAGGCCAGCGGGGGAGCGCAGCGGCTCGGAGCTGCGCCGGAGAGGGACCCAGGCTC